ACACACACACACACACACACACACACACATACACACACACATATCTATGGAGTGAACTTGTATTTGCAGATACATTTTATTTTGTTCAAAAAACACACAGTTTTATAAATTCCTACTTTAGAAATAAAACCAGTCTGACTCCAAACTAAACCACAAACAGATTCTAAACAAGGTCTCACACCTAACACGCATTGTCTGGTCTAAAATGTCACTTCTTCTTAACACTGGACCGTGACTTGAAAGGAATTCGGGGATTTACATATACATATTAATCAATTAAAACCTTCTAACTGATTAAAGATTTAACAGCATCTTAGGTTTGTTTAGTACATCCTCATCAATGGTGTGAACCTTTGATGTTTTACTTATAAATTCTGTGTCTGATACTACCTCTCTCACTAACACTGGAAGAAGGACTGAGGCTCCGAAAGCTTATATTTTCAAATAAACCTGTTGGACTATAACCTGGTGTTGTGTGATTTCTGACCTTGTCCATCCCAGGCCAACACCAGCACGTCCACGTTACAATAAATAAAACAGTGAGGATGATCCGAGATAACAAGGTGTAGAGCTGGATGAACACAGCAGGCCAAGCAGCATCGTAGGAGCAGGAAGGCTGCAGTTCCTACTATCAGTGAGGATGATCGGCAGGAAGAAGAGAAAATACACACTTACCAGTCAAGAAGTTTATTGTGATCCAGGCTAAAATTCCTACAAAAAAATAAAATGTAATCAGCACAACCAACAAAATATTTAGACAACATTTAATAACACAGCAGGTGCACAAAACAATGTGAATGCAATGCAGGAGACTGCTCTTTAGCTTGTTCCCTTGTTAAGACTTTTCTCCAGAACTCTCTGGATCACAGCACTTCTCTCCTTTCTCAGTTCTGTAATAAATTAAGCACTGGGCCATTATTTATTTAACGAATACTTCAACCAGCTTAATGTGCTCAGGTAACATTCAGTTTATGGTTTCCTTATCTTTTTACAATTATAGCCTTTGGTTCTTTACATATATAACCCACTGACCTTATGCATCACATTCCTCTCGTTAATACAAAAACATGCCTTTCAGTAAGACAATTGGCAAAATATTGCAGAGAGGTCAGAACCTGAGGTGATTTTGGTGGGAATAAAAACACAGCAACTGATCATGATATTGAATGCTCTGACTGACTTGGAGGAAACTGATTCAATTATAATTTTTAAAAAAAGGACGGCCATATAAATATTTTCATCAACATTTTTCTATTCACTCATGACTTGTGGGAGATGGTAGCTGGGCCAGCATTTATTTCCAATCCCTAGTTGCCCTTTAGAAGGTGATGCTGTGCTACCTTCTTTAACCACTGCAATCCATTTGGTGCAGGTACTCCACAATGCTATTAGGGAGGCAATTGCAGGATTTTGACCCAGTGACAGCGAAGGAATGGTCACTTGGAAGGGAACTTGCAGGTGATGATGTTCCCATGTATCTGCTACATTTGTCCTTCTAGATGGAAGTGGTCAGGTGTTGTAAGGTGCTGTCTATGGATTTTTGGTGAAGTCCCCACTGATTCCATCAAGTCCACACTGAGGATCTGAAGAGTATCCCACCCAGACCCACCCCCTACCCTATCCCTGAAACCCTGCATTCTCATAGCTAATCCACCTAGCTTGCTCATCCCTGGACATTATGGACAACTTAACATGGCCAATCCACCTAGCCTCCATATCTTTGGGCTAGTGATTAGTCCAGTTCAGTTTTCTGACACTGGTAACCTTCAGGATGTTGACAGTGGGGGCTTCAGTGATGATTATGCCATTGAGTGTCATGGGATGGACATGGTCATTACCTGGCATTTGTATGGAGCAAATATTACTTTCCACTTATCAGCCCAAATCTGAATATTGTCCAGATCTTGCTGTATTTTGACCTCGACTGCTTCAGAATGTGAGGAGTCATGAACGGTGCTGACTATTATGCAGTCATCAGTGAATATCCCCACTTCTGAAGTTACAATTAAGGGATGGTCATTGATGAAGCAGCTGAAAATGGTTGGGCCTGGGACTATATACTGAGGAAATCCTATAGACATGGCCTGGACCTGAGATGACTGACCCCAACAACCACAACCACCTTCCTTTGTGCCACACTAATATGTTCAGATATGTCATGAAACACCTCTCAAGAAGGTAGCACTTTAACCCGGGGCTTCCGGCCCAGAACTAGAGGCACTAGAGGTGAGGGATTCTAGAGGTGGGGTGAGAGTGACAGCCCTTGACATTAAAGCCCCAACTGCAGTGGTTAAAGAAGGTAGCTCACCGCCACCTTCTGAAGGGTAACAAAGGATGGGCAATAAATGCTGGCCAGCCAGGAATGCCCACATCCCACAAGTAAATACATAAATAAAAAAATGGCCGCCACATACCCTATGAGGTGGGATATAACTTTGAAGAACAGAGTCGCTTAGATTATTCCAAGGGTTGTACAGGCTCTGTCCGGTATGATTCTATAAAATCCAAAGGCAACACCCTCATAGTCGACCCACAGATCCAAAATCTGAAATCATCCCAAATCCTCCTTTCATAAGCAATTTACATCAAGACCATGAATCACTAGATTTCAAAAGTCGAAGCCATAATAACATTTATAATAGTGACAAATTTTGGTTTACCAATATAAAAAGCAGATAGTTATATCATAAGGGATCTTGATCAGCTGGACCAGTGGGCTGAGAAGTGGCAGATAGAGCTTAATTTGGGGTCGCTGGACTGTTAATCCAGAGACCCAGGTAATGTCCTTGGGACCCGGATTCGAATCCTGCCACGGCAGATGGTGGAATTTGAATTCAATAAAAATATCTGGAATTAAGTGTCTAATGATGACCATGAAACCATTGTCAATTGTCAGGAAAAACCCACCTGGTTCACTAATGTCCTTTAGAAAACAAAACTGCCATCCTTACCTGGTCTGGCCTACATGTGACTCCAGACCCACAGCAATGTGGTTGACTCTCAACTGCACTCTGGGCAATCAGGGATGGGCAATAAATGCTGCCTGGTCAGAGATGCCCTCATCCCGTTAATGAATAAAAAAAATTAGATAAATGCGAATTGTTGCATTTTGGTAGGATAAACCAGGGCAGGACTTGCACAGTTAATGGTAGAGCCCTAGGGTGTGTTGTGGAATAGAAAGATCTTGGGGTTCAGGTGCACAGTTCCTTGAAGCTGGTGTCACAGGTACACAGGGTGGTGAAGGCGGCATTTGGCACACTTGCCTTCATTGGTCAGAGCATTAAGTATAGGAGTTGGAACATCATGGTGGAGCTGTAAAGGTGTCACTTTTGGAGTACTGCATACAGTTATAGTTGCCTTGCTATAGGAAGAATTGGACAAAGTGCAGAAAAGATTTATAAGCATGTTACAGTGACTGGCGAGTTTGAGTTATAAGGACAGGCTGGATAGGCTGGGACGTTTTTCTCTGGAGTGTAGGAGGCTGAGGGTTGACTATATAGAGGTTTATAAAATCATGAGGGGCATAGATCAGGTGAATAGCAAAGGTCTTTTCCCAATGGCAGGGATATTCAAAACTAGAGGCATAGGGTTAAGGTGAGAGAGGAGAAATTTAAAAGGGACCCTAAGGGGCAACTTTTTCGCACAGAGGGTGATGTGTATACGGAACAAGCTGTCAGAGGAAATGGTAGATACAGATACAGTTACAACATTTAAAAGACATTTGGACGGGTACATGAAAGGTTTAGATATGGGCCAAACACAGGAAAATGGGATTAGTTTAGTTTGGGAAACCTGGTTAGCACGCATGAGTTGAACCAAAGGGTCTGCTTCCATGCTGTATGACTCAATGACTCATAAAAACTAAAACCTGAGACAAGTGAAGTAAATGCTAATGAATCTGAATCAGTAATTCACAACAAAATTTAACAATTCCATAAAATCTATTAATCTTCTTTTATCTGAAAGGAATGTCTTTTAAAAAAAAGTTTTTTTAAAGGAACATGTGATTGTCAATCACAACAACAAACTTTGCTCAAATAATGAGATGAAATATAAAATGAATACAATTATAATTTGCATTTTTGTTCATATTTATTAAAATTATTTGGTATGACCTCCTGTTCTGATGAAGGGCCATTGAATTGAAACATTAACTCAACTTCTGTCTATAGATGCTGCCCAATCTGCTGTGTACTGTTAGCTTTACAGCTTGCATTTCTATTTAAAACTGGTAATACATTCTAAGGTACCTTGCAGGCATGTAATCAGATAAAGCTGCATTGAAATAAAGGAGATGTCAAGACTGGCAACCAAAAGAGGTAGTCTTGAAGGATTAGGGTTGGCAGGGTTAAATGGAGCAATTTCAGAGTTTATGCCTAGATGTCTGAAGGCATATCAGACCATGGTTATGTTAAATAGATGGGGCCAAAAAGCCAAAGCTGGAGGAATGTGGAGTTCTCAGAGCAATGTATAGCTGGAGACCATAGGACCATATGATATAGGAGCAGAATTAAGCCACTCAGCCCATCGAGTCTGCATTGCCATTCAATCATGGCTGATATGTTTCTTAACCCCATTTTCCGGCCTTCTCCCCGTAACCCTCAATCCCGCTACTAATCAAGAACATATCCATTCGTCTTAAATACACTAAATGACTTGACATCCATAACCCTCTGCAGTAATGAGTTCTACAGAGTCATCACCCTTTGGCTGAAGAAATTCTACCTCATTTTAGTTTCTAAACAGTTGACTCTTCACCCTGAGTCTTTGCCCCTGGTGCTAGTCTCTCCTATTAGTTGAAACATCTTCTCCATGTCCACTCTGTCCAGGCCTCTCAGTATCCTCTAACTTTCAATCAGATACCACTTCGTTCTTCTAAGTTCTATTGAGTATGGACCCAGAGTTCTCAACCATTCCTCATATTCGGAGTGCCCTTCATCCCTGGGATGATTCTTGTAAACCTCCTCCGGACTCCCACCAATGCCAGCACACCTTTCCATAGGTATGAGGCCGAAATCTGCTTACAATATTCCAATTGTGGTCTGACCAGAGCCTTATACAGCCTCAGCAGTACATCTCTAAACTTGTTTTCCAGACTTCTTGAAATGAACGCCAACATTGCATTTGCCTTCCTAACTGCTAACTGAACCAGCATATTTAACCTTAAGAGAATCCTGAACTAGGACTTCTAAGTTCCTTTGCATTTCAGATTTCCCAAGCCTTTCCCCATTTAGAAAATAGTCCACGCTTTTATTCTTCCTACCAATGTGTATATGTCATACTTTACCATATTGAATTCCATCTGCCACTCCTTTGCCGATTCACCTAGCACGTCCAAATCCTTCTGCAGCCTTCCCATTTCCTCAACACTACCTTTCCCCACCCCATCTACCTTGTGTCATCTGCAAACTTAGCAACAATGCCCTCCGTTCCTCAATTCAAACTATTTACGTATAACGTGAATACTTGTGGTCCCAACACTGACCCCTGTGGAACTCCATTAGTTGACAGCTACCATCCTGAAAAAGACTCCTTTAACACTACTCTCTGCCTTCTACCAGTCAGCCATTCCTCAATCCATGCCAGGGCCTTGCCCCAAACACCATGGGCTCTTTTCTGATTTAGCAGCCTCCTGTGCAGCACCTTATCAAAGGAGGACACAGAGATATAGAGGGCCCAATGAATTGGAAACAGAATGGGTTGTGATGGGGAGGGGTTGGTAGTTAGCATTTGAACAGGAGGGTGAGAATTTTAAATTCAAAGTATTGCCAATCTGGAAGCCAATGCAGACACATGTTCAGGAGTAATAAGTAAATGGAGTTGGTCCATCTCAAATTTATGGAGACTAAAAGGATGGGAGGTCCGGCAGGAGAACAATGGAACAATCAAGTCTATAGGTAACTAAAGTATGAATGAAACTTGCAGTAGTATATGTATTAACGCTGAGGTGAGGATGACAATATTATGGAGCTGGCAGGTCTTAATGGTGGAGAGGATATGGAGTCAGAAGTAGAGCTTAGGAACAAACACAACAAGATAGCAAGTTGTCTGTTTCAGCCTGAGGCAGTAAGCAGGGAATTGGCGCATCAGGAATAGAAATTCGAAATTAGTTTAGCTAGGATTTCAAACTAACAGTCTGACACCAAAGAGGCCATGAAGGAGTTGAGAGGTAGAACTGGGTCAGGGATATAACATCAGAAATAGAAACAGGAGGCGGCGCCTGGAGCCTAGCCTGCTACTCAATACTATCATAATTTAGAACATAGAACATAGAACATAGAACAGAATAGCACAGTACAGGCCCTTCGGCCCACGATGTTGTGCTGAACTTTTACCCAAATCCTAAGGTCTATCTAACCTCCACCCCTACCTTATCCATATGCCTATCTAATAGCCGCTTAAATGCTAATGAGGCCGACTCCACTACCCTCTCTGACAATGCAGTCTACGTCCCGACCACTCTCTGAGTAAAGAACCTACCTCTGACATCTCCCCTATATCTACCTCCACTCACTTTAAAACTATGCCCCCTTGTAATACCTCCACCCTAGGAAAAAGTCTCTGGCTGTCTTCTCTATCTATACCTCTGATCATTTTGTACACCTCTATCAAGTCACCTCTCATCCTTCGTCATTCTAAAGAGAAAAGCCCGAGCTCTCTCAACCTTTCCTCATAAGACCTTCCCTCCATTCCAGGCAACATCCTGGTAAATCTCCTCTGCACCTTTTCCAATGCTTCCACATCTTTCCTGTAATGAGGCGACCAGAACCGGACACAATACTCCAGATGTGGCCGAACCAGGCTTTTGTATAGCTGGAGCATAACTTCACGGCTCTTGAACTCGATCCCTCTATTAATGGAAGGTAGCACACTATATGCCTTCTTAACAAGTCTATCCACCTGAGTGGCAGCTTTCAGGGAACTGTGGACTTGAACCCCAAGATCCCTCTGCTCCTCCACTCCACACTCCATTAACCCTGTATTCTGTTTTCAAGTTTTTCCTTCCAAAATGAATCACCTCACACTTTTCAGGGTTAAACTCCATCTGCCACTTCTGAGCCCAGCTTTGCATCCTATCAATGTCCCTTTGTAAACTAGAATAGCCCTCCGCACTGTCCACAACGTGACCCACCTTTGTATCATCCGCGAACTTACTTACCCACCCTTCCACTCCTTCATCCAAATCATTTACAAAAATCACAAATAAAAGAGGACCCAGAACAGATCCTTGTGGTACACCACTCGTAACTGAGCACCATGTTGAATATTTTCCATCCACTACCACCCTTTGTCTCTTAAGCGTCAGCCAATTCTGAATCCAATCTGCCACATTTCCCCCTACCCCATGCCTCCTTACTTTCTGCATGAGCCTACCATGGGGAACCTCATCAAACGCCTTACTTAAATCCATGTATACCACATCCACTGCTCTACCTTCATCCATGTGTTTGGTCACCTCTTCAAAGAATTCAATAAGGTTTGTGAGGCATGATCTACCCCTCACAAATCCATGCTGACTATCACGAATCAAACTGTGCCTTTCCAAGTGATCATAAATCCCATCTCTCAGAGCCCTTTCCAAAAATTTGCCCACCACTGAAGTAAGACTAACTGGCCTGTAATTTCCGGGGTTATCCTTATTCCCTTTTTTGAACAAGGGAATGACGTTTGCCTCTCTCCAATCTTCCGGCACTAGACCCGTGGACAGTGAGGACAAAAAGATCATTGCCAAAGGCCCTGAGATCTCTTCCCTTGCTTCCCATAGAATCCTTGGATAAATTCCATCAGGCCCGGGGCACTTATCTATCTTCAACTTCCTCAAAATTCCTAGTACATCTTCCTTACTAACATCGACCTCCTCTAGCCTACCAGCCTGTTTCACACTGTCCTCCTCTACAACTAGGCCCTTCTCAGTTGTGAATACCGAAGAAACGTATTCATTAAGGACCTCTCCTATCTCTTTAGGCTCTGTGCACAAATTCCCTTTACAGTCCTTGATCGACCCTACCCTTTCTCTGGTCATTCTCTTATTCCTCACGTACGTGTAAAAAGCCTTGGAGTTTTCCTTGATCCTATCTGCCAAGGTTTTCTCATGCCCCCTTATAGCTTCCCTAAGCCCTTTCTTCAGCTCCTTCCTGGCTAACTTGTATCCCTCTAGAGACTTTTCCATTCCTTGTTTCCTAAACTTACATAAGCATCCTTCTTCCTCTTAACCAGTCGTTCGACCTCTCTCGAGAACCAAGGCTCCCTCACTCAACCGCATCTTCCCTGCCTGCTAGGGACAAACATATCGAGCACACGCAGTATGCATTCCTTAAACAATCTCCACATTTCAATAGTGCTCTTCCCGGACAGCATCTGTTCCCATTTTATGTTACCCAGTTCTTGCCTAACAGAATTGTAATTACCCTTCCCCCAATTGTAAACCTTGCCCTGCTTTATGTACCTAATTTGAATGATTATGTTATTCAATTCTGCCAAAATTTGCTATCTTTTTTTTTACTCTAGCCTTCCTGCCATCTCCTCCCTCACTAACCAACTTCTGAAATGGACACATGCTCAAATAAGCTCCTCCCAGCAATTCACGCAAATGGACAGTCTTCATGCAAAAATCTGAATTGGGTGAACAAAGGCCTATTGACCACAGGATCAATTTTATCAAACTCCAAGGGGGCTCAAGTCTTAGTTCGCCTGCCTGTGAGTCAGAAGTCCTAGGTTCAAGTTACAATAGGTCTGAACAGTTTGTTTCAAAATATCTATCCAAGACCAATACATTTTAGCATCCAATACACACAGACACAGACACACACACACACACACACACACCTCTAAATGCTGGGTAGAATACAGCAGCGCAAACCACACACCTTTGTCCTCAAGGCAGGAAAGACGGGAGGTTTCATATTTGTTGAGGAAGCAAGTACTCGTAATACAAATAATTATATCTAATTTGCAACTTAAATTATCATAACTCAGCATAACTAATGTAGACTTCAAATGATATCTAGTTGGTCATCAAATTTGTAGAGGGTCATAGAATTATATTGTCCCTTTCCAACTCAAATGGTGCAGTAGAAAATAATTAATTTTCTAAAAATTGGGAAGTAATTCCCAATCTAGATATACAATTAGCAACAGAGGAGAAAATAAGCACACTCGAAATTTTGGTACCAACCTTCATATGTGCCATTCATTATACTAACACAGTCATCTGGTACTAAAAAAGGAGAATCCTCAAATAGTTCCTGGACCTGGATTGAGAATACACACATTAGTGCAATTACTGATTTATTTTATAATATGCCGATTGACCAACAACTCCATGTGGTTTTGTCTATTTTTTAAAATCGCCCTCAAGGTTAGATTCTCATTTTTACTGTTTCCCCTTACCATCCATCAAATAGCTCTCACAATTTTCCACCTTCCACAGTACTGTTTCAAAGAATCATCCTCCCTACAGGGATACAATTCTCTTGAAGCCACAGTGCTTCAGAAGCATATGAAACAAGTTCATTCTTGGAATGTGGGGGTTTCTGGCAAGGCCAGCATTCATTGCCTTTTGTAGCTATCCTGAAATGATGGTCATAGGCCTCCTTCTTGAAGCATTGATGACTTGAAACAAGCGAATGACTCATGAGTCATTTCCTGCCCAGGCAGGAAATGTTAGATTTACATTTACAGTAGGAGCTGCCGATGCTGGAGAATCTGAGATAAGGGTCTAGACCCGAAACGTCAGCTTTCCTGCTCCTCTGATGCTGCTTGGCCTGCTGTGTTCATCCAGCTCTACACCTTGTTATCTCAGATTTACATTTATGTTAGTTTGGATAAGGAAAGCAAATTTTATATGCTAAAATAGATATTAGTGAACTAATTGGATATTTATTATAATAACTTAATTATTTTATTGATAAAGACTTATTTTTAGATATTTAAAAATATGCTGAATTCAAATTTGCAAACTACCCTGGTGTGGTTTAAATCAGGATAATACCATGGATCTTTCTGATTTGTGTCTAGGTAGCATAAACAAGTCAGCGAGGCTGGTTTGAGCACTTTTCCTTGGGCATAAGCAACATATTTTCCTCATAAAATGGCACAGTTCCAGTCTTCAAAGTGTTACCAAGCTCAAAGAGTATATGATCTGTTTAAAAAAAAAGTCACTGATTCTTGATAACTGGAAAAGTCAAAATCCTTGTTACTACATAGGAGCTTATTGGCATTTTGAGGATCACTTTCTGTGACTTCACCCACACAAATGACTTTGCCTGATACCAAGATATTGAAGTGGTCCAGAATACTGAATTTGGCTCTTTTTCCACATAATAGCAATACAGCTGGGTTTTTACAATGGCATCAATACATTACAAGGTCACACCTCTAATAGCAAAGCTTGGGCTTTCTGCTCTGGAAGCAGTCGCAGTCCTGCTGTGGCTTTTAATACCACAGGGGTAGTATGCCAGTGGGTTGAAGGTATTGTCTGCTTTGCCACATCCAGTAGTTCTCGTACAGTCTCTGCACCCTAAAATACAACAACATAGGGCTTTAAACAACAGGCCTTCCACTGTCCGTTGTGCACAATATATCGAGTATGCCAGAGCTGATTACTTGTACACAGAAAATGATTTCAAATGATAGCATAATAAACAAAGCTCAGCGCTATGAAGGTAGTCACTGTTTGACTCAGTACAATGTCCTTTTTTGTATAAAAGTTGTATGTGATTCATTAAAATGCTGTTAATTTTCCACTAGACGATAAAGGAAACACCACAAGTGTCGATAGGGTTCAAACTATACATACATGTTTATGTATACAATAACTGTTATCAACACTTCAATTTCTAATAAGTGAATAGGGCACTCAGTGGAGATTTTCCCTTTGCCACACTGTTTACTTAAAAGTGCACAGTTCTCCTTAAAGGCTTTCTTCTGCCTGTTGGATGCTCTGTAGCCATGAAGCTGAAAGAAGTTTTTTTAAAATCTATTAAGAATTGCCATTTCACTGAAGGAGATTCAGGCCAATTCACATTCCCATAACCCTCTCTGAAAACTTTGTTCGCATTTTGACAGATCCCTCCAGAGCAGCAGGGACAATCTATAATGTTCCAAAACAATTAGCAACATTCTGAATCAAACAGTTAATATAAAACAGTTAATTCACTCAATCATCCAATGCTAACAGATCCTTTAAAAAGTTCCTGTATCTGTATCTAAAAGCCCATCTCTGCCAAAAGCATATTAGATCTTCCTTGGGCTCACTCTGTCTGGGTACCAAGTTCAATAATTACTTGGGAGATATAGCTTACAGATTAAGACCGGTGCTGTTGTTGAAAACAAAAACATAGGAACTGCTGTATGAAAAATCACTGTGATTCATCAATTTCACTGTCTACCATCCCAGTGCTCTTAATATCTCCATGATTGTTGAAAATTAAGTAATCATGGGGAGCGTAAAATATCGGTGGTAAACAGTTTTGGGAAGCTCTCAAGCATAGAACATGTGTAAAACGAAAAAGGGAAGGATCTTAATTGCCTCCCCAAACACCCCAGAAAGAGAAGAGAAAGAACAAGGCACATGAACAAATAAACTCGCTGATATCACTTGGAACTTTGTCACTTGCGTGCAGCAGTATAAATGCAGAGTGTTAACCTTAAGAACGTAAGAACTAGGAGCAGGAGTAGGCCGTCTGGCCCTTCGAGCCTGCTC